GCAAGAAACAGGAGAAAGATTGATAGTAAAATAAAGAATACACAGCTTTCATCAACTTGTTGCCCTATTTTAAACGTCGACAGAACGAAAGTGAATCGAACAAGAATATAAATTATTATGACAAAAGTAAAAGGAATTTCTGTCGGAGAAATCAAAAGTGCAATGAACAGGATAACGTAAAACAAAGGATATAAGTTTTTCATCAACAGTGTTGTCCTCAATTTCGAAAAAATTGTTAATATACGAAAAATGATATTTTACAAAAAGATTCGTTCAAAGCTCTAAAAAAAAAACGCACTGGTGTCTCACTTCGATAGTTATTAATGACACTAATATTATTATTAAGTTAACATCGACGTTAACCAATTAAGTAACACTAACATTATTAGTTTAAACATTAAAGTCGTGGTAAAGTGCAGCCCTCTTGTTGCCCAACGAGATCCTCTCTGAAAAGGAGAAAAGGAACCAGCCAAGAATCGTAATCCTCCTCGCATCGTTTACTCAACGACCAGAGATACTGGCGTTTAAGTCGAAGAGAAATACTGAGAAATAAATTTCACCGAGTCGAAAATTCTTGTCCCTGACAAGGATACGGAAAGAGGAGGCGCATAATTTGCTAGAGGAGAAGAAAACCACCCTGCCTAGTAGGGTGGTAAGATATAGGGTATAAATTTAAGAGTATTCCGGAGGAGCGCAGGTTTACCTTAAGGTCGCTTTATCTGAAGCTGCCACGCCTTCGGATTGAAGGATAAAGGGCTAACGATACTCGGAGCTTTGCCCTCCCTCCCTCCCTCCCTCCCCACCTTCTTTTTTCACCAGCAGAACAATTCACTGGTTTTCGATCCAATTCAAACGTCTTTCGAATTTAGACGTCTTTCTCGCCACTCTAATCTAACTCAACGACTTTCAATCCAAGCGTTTTTCGACGATTCAATCGTAATCTCTGCGAAGGACGCTTCGTTTCGTTCGCTGCTAACTCGGCTCGCAGGAGTAAGGGGGGAGGGGGGTGATTAATGGTCGAATAACGGGAAAGGAGAGAGGTGGGAAATTTGAACAAAATCGCGAGGTTGTAAATTTTTTGTTTAGCGGACCGTGCCTTTTCGACCAAAGCGGAAAGAAAAAAAAAAAGAGGGAAAAAAGAAAAAAGAAAAAATTACGCTCGAAAGCGCGAACCTCGATGGAAGTGTGTGTATATGTGTGTGATAAAGAAACCGAATAACGTTAATGCAGCGAGATGCATTTGTCTCGTCTCACTTCGATCTCGCCTCGCGTCGATAACGTTGCGCTTTCTGAGAGGAAAGTGAGAATGTTTCGTCATGCATGCACGTTGAATCACTGAGTCGCGGAAAATTGGACACGCAACCGAATGGGAAGCTCTCGAGTATCGAATAATCGTCGTCTGACGTCGTTTGTTGGTGAAAGGAAATCAAACGCGCGGCGTAATTGTATACCCTGGCAAAGATATAATTAAGAAACCAGGTAAAACCAGTGATATAAAAACGTGGCTTCGATACGTTTGCTTACTCCAAACGTTAGAAATGATTGTCAAGAATTAGTCGTATGTGAAAAATTCGTCCCGAGGTACTTTGTTTTCACAGAGATCAAAGTACGAATCGAAAGGAATATAAAAGTGGTTCGAGTAGCTTGCACGCCTCAAATAAATATTAAATTATACGTCTAATGAGAAATTGTGTTTAACACAAAAGTTGTACGAGACAAGCAAAATATTGGTCATTTTTTTCTGGACCATTATTTTTTTTCTCTTAAATCGAAGAATATTAAATTCCAAATTAAAAAAGTATTAAGCCATGTTGGCCATAAACCTAATGGTTGAGAAGATGTTTTACGATAATTTGTTATACTTATAATTTTACATTAGATCCATAGATAATTTAAAAGTTATTCCAAATATGTGAATCATCCTGTATAAGCGCGGCTTAGGGTCCACAGTCAAAAATAATATATAATAATATTGCAGTTAGTATTACAGCCAGTAATATTATTATAGTAGGTAAATAAATAAATGATAAAGGAATTTTAAATAGTTGATTTATATATAAGAAATTTCTGAATTGGTTTCATTAAATTATTTTTTTTTTAATAAAACGAATTTTTGATGAAGTAAATAATATTAAAATTATGAATAAAATAATTATTTGAAAAATATAATAATTTGGAAATATGAATAATTCAATTATTGAATAAGTATGATTATTATCAATCATTGTAAAATTTGTTATAAATAAATTATAATAAACTTTTAATGATAATAATATAGACATAAATATAATTAAATATATATTAATAAATAATTACATTTACATTTTAATATATATATATATATTTTTGATACATTAATTAAACATGAAAAAATAAAATATGAAAATAAAATTATTATTCCTCTAATTATAACAATTAAAATTATATAAATATATAGAATTGATGGTTTGATTATAAAAATAATAATTGATGAAATTTTAAATAAATATAAAATTTCTGTGACATTTCTACGTCAATAAGTTCGGCAGTAAGAGTCTCGCCTCGTTCGAATGAAAATTCTGTAAAATTTCCTAATTATACCCCTACAATGCAACATTGTAATTTCGCACGCAAAGCGAGTAAGTAATTTAATGCGTCGTTCGCGTACGTTATTCGCCTGTCCGCTTGGGTGAGTAATCTCGAAGCGAGTTGCTGCGCTTTCTCAGCGACACCAATTACACCTGCGTCGAGCAAAATAAGTAATTGCGAGAAAAGAGCGACGTCCAGAAAAACCGATGTATGTACGAGATCGATGAGATGGGCGAGATCTCGTCCTTTCGACTCTCGCGTGCAAACGAAGGAAAGGGCCGTGTCATCCTCACCTTTTTTTCGCGAGATATTTTTCGAGTCAAGCCTCGATTCGTTTCTCGAGGAAACAGGGAAAACGTCGCGGCTAATTTCGGAACTTGACGTTTAAGCAGGAGAGTCGAATCGAAGTGGATGGTCGACACCTCTTCCTCCGAGAGACTTCTCTCTCTCGGGGTGTTTGGAATTCCATTACGCGAAACTCGGCCGTCGAACGACGCGCCACGCTACGAAAACGTAATTACTCGCGAAACAAGTTCGAACGCTGCGACATCCTCTTTCCAGCTCGCGGATGGCCCGCGCGAGTTGAAAAACTACCCGCGTTTTCAACTTGCACTGCCTCGATCTTTTTCAATGTTTTCACGACGATCTTTTCAGAGCTCTTCCCAATTTGCCTCGAGCAGGGAATTTTTTTTCATTGCGCGAAACTCGGACTTCGAACTTCTTCCCAGAGTAACTTGGACTCGGCCTCGCGATCGGCGCCACGATTTTTTTCACACACGAGGAAACGATCTTTCAAGAGTGGAGATGAAGAAAACGATGAAACGATTTTCTTTGAAGAATCCTTTCTAATTTGCATCGGAACAAGCACAGAGAACAAATAGAGGAAAAACAGAGAGCACGAAAAGGTACAGATGGTCCGCCAGTTTTTCGACTCGAGCAACCTGGACTGCATCGTTCTCCGACGATGAAGAAGATTTTTTAAGAATCCTTTTTTTTAATTCACATCGAAGAAAAAATAGAGGAGAATAGAGAACACAAAGGAAAAAATAGAAAAAATTAGGACCGAAGGCTGCCGGATCTGAAATCCTTTTTCCAGATGGTCCACGAGCTTTTCAGTTCTTTCTGTTTAAATATTAATCTCAAATTTAACGGTTACTGAAATCTACATGAATGAAATTAAACGATTAATGAAATTTACATCTCACGATGCAAAAGAGGGGGGAAAAAAAGTAGAAGAAGAACTCACTTTTGTGCCTGGAGAATCGCCTGAGCTTCTTGAAGAACGGCATTGCTCGTCGTGATTACTACGATCTCGTTAGCCGCGCACGATGTCAACGGGCGGATCACCGACCACGATCACAATCACGCGAAACTCTCACTGATCGAACACCTCGAAGAGGAAAAGCCGCCCTCGTGTTTCGTGAACGTACGAGCTGGAAATGCCGCCGCCTCCTGGTTTACGTCGGGACACGACCAAGCCGTCTGCGAGGCTCTTTCGTCTGCCTCTTACTCGCGATCCTCTGACTTCACCGGCTCCTCCGCTCTTTTCTCGCTGGCCACTCGTACGCGTTTCCACTTATCCCCACTATCCGGCTTTTACAAGGGGAAGCCGAGCACAAGACTCGGCAGTGCCGCGTGCTCGCTGCTCCGCGTTCGACGAGCCGTTTATTTTCAAAGAGTGGCCATTTTCTTCCCCCTCCGAAAAAGAAGAAAAAAAAAAAGAATGAAACTAGCTGCTCTAACATTTCCACGTTATCTTTCCATTTCCAGACAAATTGTAACTGATACGTTTGAAGCCACTACAAGATCTTGTACACGGAATAGTTAGCTGGTTGGTGGAAATTTTTTCTTTTTTTTTTGAAGTGGCTTAAGTCACTCATTGTAAGTATGTTCATATTTTTTTATATTATTAAAGCGGTGGTGTTCGATTAGCTCAGAACAGTGGTTTTTTTTTTTTTTTTTTTTTT